TTCTGGAGGACAAGGAGTTAGGACATATTTCTTCTGCAGAGTAGGGTTTCTGTCTTACTGCACCAAATTCACGGTGTTGTCTACCTCTGAATAACATGGTAATCATTTATCAAGTCAAGGAATTTCAGATATTAAGGGAGCTGATTTTCCTAGTAAGAGGTGGCAAGTTACAAAAACAAACTAAGACTTGAAAAATCATACAAGTCATACTAATATTCATTGACATCCGAGTTCATAAAATCTGAAATATTTGGCCTGTACACTTCTTCAAATCATCCTTATAGTCTTCACTGCATGTGGTGAATGTCAGAAAACAATAAATCAGTACCACTTTCTTTTCCCCTCACACTTTAAAAGATGATTTCACTAAATATTCAATTCTAACTTGGATATTTTCTTCTTGAGGATGTGGTTTTCTGGCTTCCATGTTTGCTGTAACAGATCACGTCAGGCTACTAATAGCTTCTTTGATGTTATGGTTTGTGTCAGATGTCCCCTCCCAAAGCCTCTTGCTCCCTCTTTCTTTGCTTTTGTTTCTTTGCTGTCTTCTGTCACCTCAAACTGTTGCCTTTCACCATGCCATGCTGCTTTGGAGCCAGCTGATTACAGACTGAAATCTCCAAAATATGTGAGCTAAGTAAACTTTTCCTTCCTCAATTTTGGGCATTGAGTATTTTGTCTTAGTGACAAGAAAAAAGTAACTAACATAGAATTTGATACCAGGAGTGGTATCATTGCTGGGACTGTATCTGACCATGTGATTCAGGAGCCTTTGGAAATGGTTTGTAGGAGGAGTTTGAACAGATTTAAAGATATCTGAAAAAATAGTGCTGGAATGCCTTAGGCTGTCCTGTGTGGGAGATTCTGGTCAGAACTCAGGAGATGTGAAGACAAGGCTTTGAAAGTTTCTACCAGGAAGAAGGACTGCATTGGTTGTTGGACTCAAGACAATGTATGCTATGGCTTGGCAGTAAGTTTATCTGCATTTTGCTCATGTCCAGAGAGTTTACCTGAGGCTTAGATTAAGGGAGGTGGACTGAATAAACTAGCAGAAGAAATTTCAAGGCAGTTGAATGCTGAGGCAGTGGCATGGCTATTGTTGGAGACTTCTGCCAGATTTATGTTGGGATTCAAGAGCAAAGAGCCCAGCAGAATGATTTAAAACATTGTGAGTTTGGTCAGACAGAAAGCTCTAGTAAAGCTATGGACTGCAAAGATAGAGCAGAAGAAATCTTGATTGTTGAGAAGAAACAAAAGAATACAAAAGATGCCCTGAGGGCATCACAAGAAGCACCAGGACGCTATCCTTCACAGCCTCAAAACTGCAAAAGTGAAAGACTTTGAGAAGAAAGCCACAGAGAAATATGTTCCAGAATGGCAGCAGCATAGAGAATTTCTTCCTCTGAATTTAAGTCAAAGTGCTCAGTGATCTAAGTACTCACCCCCTACAGCCAAGAGAGAGGGAAGCTTGGCTACTGTTCCAGTTGGCAGCAGATCTTGGAATCATCCATGTGGTGCTGGTTTTAGGTGCACGCAGAATTAAAGAGTTCTGGAGTTAAGACTTTCACCCCAATTTCAGAATGCCTGGGAAGCAAAGCAGGGTGCTCCTTAGTGGGCAATATGTGAAACTGTGAGGGTGAAGACAAAGGTGCAGGGGAGATTGCAAAAGTTTGGAAAAACCAGGAATGTAGATGATCAGAGAAAACTTGCAAGGAGGAAGCAGAGCAGGCCCCAAAGAGAAGCCATGGGAGCTACAACAACCAGAAGGGGTAGAGCCATGAAAATCCTCTGGAGTTCACAACTTGCCACAAATTGCCTTGAGTGCTAAAGGACTTAATGTTGACCTTGGAGCTGTAAGAATTAATGTTTACCCTGCTTTACTTTCTTTGGTCCCAATGCTTTGTATCCCTGTTTGTAACTTTTGGGATGAAAACGTTTACCTTGTTCCACTGAATGATGGAAAGTCTAACTTTTAATATGTTAAAAATTTGCCTTAAGTCTCAGAAGACATTTGGGACTTGTACTTTTCAGAAATGCTGAAACTAGTAAGACTTTGGCAACTCTTGCAGGTAGACAAAATGCATGAGTCTTTGGGGGTCCAGGTGTGGAATGTCATGGTTTGCATCTAGATGTCCCCCCAAAGCCCTATGCAATCATGGGGGAATGGGTTTATCAAAGACAGCTTGTTAAACCTCTTCTTTTCATGCCTTCACCTCAAGAAACAGAGTTACAATGTGTCCAGCTCAACTCAGCAGGGTGCCAAGGTCCTCATTTTGTACAAGAGAAGAGCACAGGGATGGTGAAACTGCTACACTCACCCTAAGATGAATAGCCTGCATACACTATATGGCAGCAACAGAGGTTTGCTGCCACCTTCTTTTTGCTCTTGTTGCTTTGCTGTTTTCTGCCTCCTTGAACAGCTATCCTTCACCATGCAACCCTACCGTGGAGCCAGCTGATTGTGGATTAAAACCTCCTTAATTTGTGAGCTAAATAAACCTTTCCTCCCTTAGTTTTGGCTTTAGGAATTTTGTCTCAGCAATGAGAGAAAAGTAAATAATACAGGTGATGATTCATCTTTTATCTCTTCTGACTTTTAAGGTGTTTTTCTTTTTTTTATGTTCCCTGGGATTTAGTATACTTAAGTCTGTGGATTGGGCAATATTCTCGACAATTGTCTTTTATTACATTGCTTCTATCAAGTCTCCATTTCTGCTATTTCTGGAACTTCAATTACATGGAAGTTGGAGCCTCACACTGTATCAAATTTTTCCTATTTGGTTTTTGTATTTTCCAACTCTGTGTCTCTACACTGCCTTCTGTACACATCTCTTACTGAGGCTCTGAAATTTGTATACTCTCTTGTCATATCTTCAGTTCTTGTAAGATTTTAAAACAGTATATTTTACACCATTTCTCACAGTTATCATAGTTGTTTAGCCTACCATATTCTCAGAAACTCATGCATATGGTACTTGATGACAGGCTATATTTATATGTTGGAAAATTTTCCCCATAAAATGTTAACCTTGACCTACATTATTTGTTAGATTCTCAAGTATGTAAATGTATGTTTAACTTAATACTAAAAGCTTTTGAACTTAATGGATTCTTGCTCTCTTTCACTATTTTAAGTAACTTAAGTAACTCACTGACATTTACAACTATAACAATTTGAATTTTGAACACTTCTCAGTTTTAACCTGTTTTAACATCATAATACGTGATGTCATCCTGCAAAAGAAAGTAAAATAATGCATATAATTGAATTAATTCTATTGTATTTCCAGAATTTTTTGATCGGTATTCAGTACTAGCCATCACTTAATAGATTTTGTTAAATGATTAATTTTTAAAGTTACCATTCTACATTCTGTGTGATCTTTCAAAGTACCTACCTAAAGTTCTGTTTAGCCTTATTATTCTTGGGTAGTCTTCAATTTGAAGGTGTTCACACTCTAACAGCTCTCAAAAGTGGGTAGTTTTTACTATTAGTATTTTTTTATGTCAGTACTGAGATAGTAGGAAAATTCACAAGTATAACATCTAAAATTGCTAATCAACTGTGCTTCTGATTATTGAATTTCTATGATGCTAGAACTTGCAATATTTTACATATTCAATAAAATTTTTACTTTATAGAATTCACATTTAGTATTAGAAATTATTAGCTTTATACTTTTTCTGAACTAAACTATTGTCTTTCTTTTAAAATGATAGATAATTACTCCCTAATTTAAATAACAAATTATATTTTGTGTTATTTACCAAATTTTATGATTCATAAATCAGAGTCATACTCTTAATCACTGCTATTTTGAATCAATAGCAGCTCAAGTCTTTCATTTTCTTTTAAACATTTTAAAGAATTGGTGTCTCACTTCACATACTGTATTAGGAATCTATTATTTGTAGTCTTACATCTAATTAAATATAATCATAATATGGAATACTAAATTCTGAGAGGCTTTTAGAGAAACAAAAAACATTACCATACTATCAAAAAATTCTAACTTGTAAGAGCAAATTGAGAATATTAGCTAATATTACCAGATAAAATACATGGTTTAATAAGCAATAGAAAAATGTGACAGATATTACATCTAAAATTTTACTCAGAGCAAGAAAAAGAACAACATGCAACCAATATCATGTTGCTGAGAAGGAAATGTGCAAAACTCAAAAAGGAAAGCTTTAAAACATTCCTGAAAGGCATAATAGCAACACTTTGAAAAAGCCTAGTAAAAGCTAGTAATAAGCAAGGCTTAATTAGCAAGGCCTAGTAACAAGAGGTGGTTTAAATAATCCTAAAAGTCATACAACATAGTACTGTCTGATTAAAAGAAGAATGTGGAGATTGTCTATAGAGACAAATAGAAATCTGAAGGCCTTGTAGTAAGGAAAGCAAAGTATGTAACAGTGTCTTCACTGCATTAAACTTTAAATGAGTAAAAGAAGGGAAAGAGAATGCTCATATATGCTTATATGTAAAAGGGAGCACTCCTATAAGATGGCCACTGTGAAATTAACACAAATAGTTATCTGTGGGGAACAAACTTGATGGGGGGAGGGAGTGGAAACATTTCAGAGCATATCTTTATGTATTTTTTTATTTTCTTGAAGCATGAAACTGTATTAGCTAGTAAAATAAAATAAATTTTATCCAAATGGATCTGTTCCAGATCATCCCTGTAATCATATGGACTAAGCTCTGTAGGGACAAAACTTCGTATATATCATCATCATTGGAAAAGCTGCAGGCCTTTTAATATCTTCATTGAAATGTCTACTTATTTCTGTCTCAGTGTCATAATTTTGCTTTCTATCATGCCAAAGCTTTTAAACTCAATGTGTTCTGTGGTTAGAACTTAATGTTTAAACTGTTACATAAAAATTGGAAAACTTGTCCCATAATATTGGAGACTAAATCTGAGTCTGTGTTGAGGAATTTACTTTGGAAGCAATGTTTTGGTAAAATAATTATGTCTGCTTTCTTCTAGGCAACGGTTCTCACAGTATAGTCACCAAATAAACAACATCAGTATCACCCAGGAAGTTTGCTAGAAACTTAGATTTTTAGGCCTCACATCTACTCAATAAGAACTGGAGGTCTGGTACAGCAATCTGAATTGTAACAAAAGCCCTCTGTGTGATTCTGAAGACGCTGCAGTTTGAAAACCACTGATCTAAAGGAAAGCCTGGAACTTTTCAGAAAATAAGGATATTCTGCTAAGACATAGGATCATCACTGCAGAGGAGAAGGTCGACATGTTCAATTTGCAAATGTAAGAAAAGTATATAGCACCTGATGAAGTCCTGGATAGTGCTTGGTCAGTTTCCCTGAACTAAAATCAGAGAATATCCTCATAATAACAAGCTGCTGTGTTGGATACTTTGGGCACACACAGTTCTGATTTTTTCTGTCCTGTTCCACTTTTCCAGATGTCTGTTCCAGCTGATATATTGACTAATAGAAGTCACAGGATGCCTGTGGTGGAATTAACAGGTTGTAAACAATAAAGGAAGTGACTTACATTGTCCTGATGGCCTTTTTCTAATCAGAGACCTGTTCTTTAAGTCATATAGCTGTTTTATGGTCTGTAAGTGACAAAAGGAAATAGATGGCCCTTGAAAGAAGCAGCTACAGCAGCTCAAGCTGTTCCTTGACCAAGTTTATCTATGTAATTCATATGAACTATTGGTCATGGCAGAAAAGGCAAGAGGAATTGGGAATGGGGATGTGCTAGAAAGGAAAAATCAAGTGTTGGCCAGGTGAACAAAGAGACCCGATCTGGGATTGTGGATATAATGGTAGTTGAATTAGAAAATATGATAGGAATAAATCTGAAATATCTGTTATACTGACATAAGTTCTCAACAAAACAGTAAATCTGTCTGCCATGAGAATTAAAAATTTTCTGGCCTCTACTAGGTATTCAGAGGTAGGCCACTGGGCTTAAATTTAGATTACTGTTTAAGGAAGTTATTAATGAAAGGCTCAATCTCTTCTCATGCTTATTTCAAAAATAGCCATTAGGGTATCAAAGGGCTATAAAGACAATTTGACTTTGGTACTCTGAATTGGATAGTTATTGCTAGTTTGCCGTATTAGTCTAGACAGGAAGGTCTGGTTCATTCATTCCATGTTCAGCCAGTCCACTGCTGTATTTGATTTGCAAAGAAAATTATAGTTCAATCTGGGCCACACAGAGAAGTACATTCCTTCAAGTAGGGCTCCAGGATAGTTTGAAATCATTTGTTGGCTTTTTGAATAATTACTTTTCCTTAGTTTTTATCACAACACTTATCCAAATATATAAAGAAGAGAGTAAATAAGTTAATAATAATGTAGGTAGGCTAAGTTGTAAGGACCTGTATGTCTCTTTGTGATGGGACACGGCACTGGAAGTGAAAGGGGAAAAGAGATTTTAGAGTGTTTCACGCAGGCTGTCTAAATCCCATTTGAGCGTATATGTGACATGTTGGGAGGAATTCAGAGATTTTCTAGGAAATTGGTTCTTCCAATGCTACCAGTTTTAAAATAGAAGCAAGTTTACGAAAGCATTATCTTCAAGGTGTAATACCATGATGTGATGCACTTTCAGAATGGTTATCAAGAACACAAAAAGCAACAAATGCTAGGAAGATGAGGGATTAAAAAGAATTCTTCTACATTATTGATGGGAATTTAAATAAATGACAACTATGAAAATCAATAGAAGGATTCTCAAAAATCTACAAATAGCCGGGCATACTAGCATATGCCTATAATCTTAGAATTTGGAAAGTTGAGGCAGAAGGCCCACCATGAGTTCAAGGTCAGACTAGGCTACATAGGAAGTTCAAAGAATATCTGAACAACATAGTGAAAGCGTGATTTCCACAACCAAAAGAAAAAAAATATCAATAGGAAATCCACTTGATTCAGATATATATAATATATCTAATATATATATATATTTTTTTTGGTAGTACCAGGGATTGAACTCATGACATCACATTTGCAAGGCAGGTGCTTATGCCACTGAGCTAAATCCCCCAGCCCAGCTATATCTTTTAAAGCATATTCTTGAAAGAGATAAAGACATCATACTATAATGACACATACATACCTATATTTATAACAGTGCCATTCACAACAGCTAAGCTCAAGACAGCCTAGATACCCATGAACAGATGAATGGGTTTTTAAAATGAGATATATATATGTATAAATATATGAATATTATTCAGTCATAAAAAGGATGAAGTTGTGTCATTTGAGGGAAAATGGATGGACCTTAATGTTAGTGAGCCAGATGTAGAAAACTAATGCTGTATATATGGTTTCTCTTATATGAGAACCCCAAAATATAAAATTAATTGAACAGTAAATATTATAGGAAACAAGGAAAGAAGTCTAATGGAGAAGAAGACCAGAGCAAGGGATGGGGAGGTAAAGGAATTGAAAGTATCAAGAAATATAGTTACATTCATTGTCAGGAATATGTAACTATTATGTGTCACAAACATGCAGTTAAAAATTAAAATATAAACAAATGTAACATCGAGGAACATAAAATGAGCTTCCTCCCTTTCTTCAGATTTTGAGTCTCACACTGCTCATAGATGGCTGCTTGGATAAATTTGTTAGTCAGCCTTTGCTTCTCAGTGAGGGCTGTATTTTGGATCCCTTCTAAGATCATGGACAATAGCTCATAGAGAAAAGATTTGGAGAATATACCTGGGAGGGCCTTCAAAATTCCCAACCGTTTAAAATTTCTTAGAGAATACTCCAAAATGATTTTAAGAACCTTGAGAGTGTTCATCTCACTTCTGTTTATGACCTGCTAATTTTTGGATAAGCAACTCTAACATGAAACTAATGTGTATACTTTCATTATGTTGTGCATTATTTTCTATTTTATGTTCACTTATCACAGAAATGAGCAGTTTTAAAGTGGTCTAAAAGTACTCAGCTAGGGGACAAGGATGTGGTTGGTAGGCCTTAGAAGCACTCAGGCATTTCTCTTGCTGAATTACTGCCAGCGCCCTTTAGTATTCTCGGAAATAATATCTGCTACATCAGAAATGCTTTTAATCTTGGCTATGAATGTTCCCACTCCTAGTTCATTAAGTGGAGACTTCCACGTCTGGGTGTTGTACACCCAAGGAAGGAATCTTTAGTGAAAAGTAGGGCTTTCTGCAGGGAGAGTCCCAGGTATTTTTTGGATTCATTTCATGCAGATATTTCCCTTAAGGGTCCTGAGAGATAACACTCAGAGTTCTTGTCCAGATCCAGAATCCAGGAAAGTTCCAAAGTCATACTCAACTGGGTCCATGAGGTGTGAACATTCTGAAAGGCTTTTCCAGGTGTATTAGAAGATTACATCCTGTGTACTCAAATTCTGCAGACTTTCTCAAGTATCTGTGGAGACGACCCTCGAATATTTTGTCTCTCCTATAAGTTTCTCTTGCTGATTCCACCTTCACCTACTCAAAATAAAGAATCTTTAGAATTCCCTATATTATGACCCAAAGGGGAAAACAAAGAAAATTTCAGGTTCTCGCTGTTGTACTTGTTCCATATTCCAACAAATTTCACAGACTAGTGATTCTAATGAAATGATAATGAACCTATGGTACACATGCTGCTGCTAGCTGTTTGTCCCCATTAAAACCTCCAAAAGTTTCACATCACTAGTTCATAGAAAAGGCATGAACACCTTGACCAGGCAGTGCCCAGTGGACTTACAGCAGGGATTAAAACAGAATCTTCAAGTTTTGAAAGAACTTACAGAAAAAATATGATAGATGAAAAAAAAAAAAAAAAAAGGTGACAATGAAAATGAAAGGCAGCCTGAGTTGATGACCTGCAATTCAAATCAGAAAGTCTCTCAAACTGAAACTGTTCAGGTCTTCACACAGGCATGTCAATGTCAGACAGCACTGGGAAGCTAAGAAGAGGAAATGAAAGTTAGCCCGAGGGCCTGTGCCTGCCCTAAGTCCTGTGATGTGACCTTCTTCACAGAGCTCCAGGGCCACATAACTGCAGATCCTAGTGACTTTGCCAAATCCATAGAGAGAGCTACCACTGGTTTATGCAGTGAACTCTATAATTCACTGTAACCAGCAAGCAGGACAAAAAAAGAGGAAGCACATATTTCCCCAAAAAAGTGATTCAAATCCTTGTTAAACTTTAAAGCAGAGGCCAACAAGCCTTTCTGCAAAGGATCATTTCTAAATATGCCGGACTTTTGGGACCATATGCCCTTTTTTATCACAACTGCTCAACTCTATCTTTGTTACAAGAAAGCAACACAGCAAAGTAATACTGTGTCAAACGAAATGTTCAAAGGGCACTAAAATTTGAATTTCATAGAATTTTATGTGGCAGAAAATGTTATTCTTTTCATTTTTTTCAACCATTAAAAAATTTAAAAACCATTGCCACTGAAGTGTACACTTTAAAATGGTTAACGGCTAATTTTGTGTTATGCAAATCACAACTCAATTTAAAAAGTTAAAAAGTCATTTTAGCTTGTGTGCTATACAAAAACAGATGGTAAGCCAGATTTGGCCCATGGGGTGCTGTTTTCTGGCCCCTACCACTCTATCTTTGTCCATTTTCTGTGCCATAAATGAACAGCACAGACTGAATAGTTTATAAAGAATAAAGTATTATTCAGTTGATGACTCTGAAGTCTGGGACATTTACAGCTGCAAGGCTATCTATGAAGTCATTCTCTTTGGAAGGGGATCAGCAGAGTCTCAGGGTGGCCCAGGGGATCACACAGAAAGACAGAGAGTAGTAGCTCAAGTGACTCCTCTTCTCAAAAAGTCCAAACTCAATGAATTAGGACCCTACCTTAACGCCTTACTTAACCTTGGGCACTTCCCAAAGACCTCACCCTCATGCATCATGATCAAGTTAAATTCCCACCCTCTTACTATTTCACAGTATTGATTAAATTTCAACGTAAATTTTTGTGAGCAGGAACATTCAAACCACAGCACAATCATTACTTTAGATACCCTTCTATGGAATTAAATTAATACTTAGTGTGTTACATTATTGTCTCAGTTACTTTCCTCTCATTGCTGGGACAAAACACCCAACACCCAAAATGAGGGAAGAAAGGGTTTATTTAGCTCACTGTTTGTGGAGGTTTCAGTCCATATTCAGCTGGCTGCAAGGCAGAGTGGCAACACTCAATGCAATGGCCACAGCAAAATTGGGAAATAAATCTCTTCTCTTCCCTTATGTTGTACACAAGCCACACACCTACTTACAGAACAGGTATAACACTCACA